TCTCGGCAATCTGACTCTCTTTTTAAATGCCGTTAGAACCTGACGGTAAGCTGGCTCCGCCAGGAACGGCAGTGTGGTGCCAAAGTCGATCACGATGTTGCCGTTAACCTGGTTGTCTAAGGCCCAGATGGAGGGGTCGATCGGCAATCCCACATTGTCGATGAATACGCTCTTGATCCCTATATAGTAGAACGAGGGAGAGAAAGCAGCGCCTTCCCCCACGCCGTCAACGGTTACCTCGCGTATCTTCTGTCCAACACTGCATGTCTTCATTTGAACCAAGAAGATAGAACCAGTGCGACGGCGACATCCCCCACCAAAGAAATTAAAACAAACTACATCTCCCGCTCGATCGATCGCTGTTGAGTGTTGCCTGTTGGTGATAGGAAAAATGGAATCGCAACAACTGTTGAAGGGGCAGGAGGAGACCATAGAATCAGCCACCGAAACCCACCTCTCCTCGTTATCCAACGCCACATGCAGTCAGCTTCCACCTCTAGGCTACCACCCCAACCTTTGTCCCGCCACCAACCTCCCTCCTAACAACTCCCAACAAGCCATCATCCTCGCTCCCATCCCTCAATCTCAAAAAGTCTTTGTCGTCTCTCCTCCTTATTCCTTCCAAGTTCCTACCAAGAAGATAACCAACCCAGATGACATTTGCCGCTTCCACGATTCTCTATCCGGCAAGAACTTCCTGGGCTTTGTCGTCGCCCTTAGTGAGTCCATCCACAACCACAAAATTTCCGACCGCTGCCACCAATCTCAAATTGTAAATTCCATCGTCACCCTCCTCGAAACACTTCTCTGTTGGGTCGACGAGATCCCACCGGTGCAATAGTCCTCCTGATATGGTAACTACTCTTATCGGGATTGGCACGACCGTATGACTGAAAATGCTGAATCCTTGATGCTTCAATTTCTCCCCGACAACTCCGATCTACCACCCTCAAGCTCATTCCCTACTTCACCGATAGTTTCAGTAATTCGAGCCGCATCGACTACGGCACGGGCCATGAGACCAATTTCGCTGCTTGGCTCTATTGCCTGACTAGGCTAGGGCTTCTAAAAGAAAAAGGTTACCAGGCAGTTGTTTCTCGGGTATTCGTGAAGTATCTCAAGTTTTGATGAGGAAGTTGCAGCCGGCGGGTTCACATGGCGTTTGGGGTCTGGACGACTACCATTTCCTGCCATTCATCTTTTGCTCATCTTAGTTGATCGACCACAAGTATATGAAGCCCAAGTCCATTCATAATCAGGATATACTAGATAACTTTTCGCATGAGTATCTCTATCTCTCTTGCGTTTCCTTTGTGAAGAAGGTTAAGGAAGGGCTTTTCGCTGAGCACTCGATCGCCATTGCTGGATGATATCAGCGGCGTACCCACATGGAACAAGGTGAACAGAGGCATGCTTAAGATGTACAAGGGGGAGGTTCTGGAGAAGGTCCCCATCATGCAGCATTTCCTGTTCGGAGGGCTCATTAAATGGGACTAGGGTGATCCATGAACCAGCTGTTCAGTTGGACATTTGCATCCGTAGTTCATCAAGCTTCATGGATCGATCACATCAAGCTTCATCACTGATGCACAGCAACGACGGATGTACATATCGATGCATGCATGGGGGGGGGGATTTGATTTTGTTTTTTGTACATCAGGTAAACTCAGACATACCTGTGGAGCCAAAACTTCATCACTGATGCAGCAGTTGTTGCTCTGTTGAGATCCAGTTTTTATGCAAAAAGCAGCAGCAGTAATTTTTTTTACACCCCAGACAACCAAACAAGGTAGGTGTAAATTTTCAAAATCAACCGGTTTTAATTTTCACTGTAAAATTTGAATTTAAACCTCAAACAAATGCAGCCTGATGGATTGGTGGAGCACACCCAAACCACCGTCAATAAGTTGTTTTCGGAAGAAGGCCCTAGTTCCCCTCATAGTGGGACGTGGAAAATGCTCACAAATTGATCTTCTCTCTCACCTCTAGAAAATTGATGATAGATGACTCACCTACTCTACTCTCCCTGTCCATGATCGTCCTACCTCGAACACGGAGCTGATCAACAGGGCCTACTTCCTCCTAAAGGCCCGTGGATAAGTGGATTCGACTTCCCAATTCCTTTGATAATTGATATGGTTCCTTCTCCACTCCAACATTCTGTGGCTAACTGGAAAATCTCAGACTTAATAACTTCAGATAACCATTGGAATTTCTAAACTCTCACACCTCATTTATTTTCCTCCTGTTATCTCTCTCATTGAACAAACTCCAATTTTCCCAAATGAGATTGCAATTCAATGGATCCTCTTCTCTCAGCTCTCAATTCTATTCAGAAGCAACGTTTAAAGTATATCTGAAAGCTTCATAAACCTCCTCTGCTTTGAAGAATAATAAATGATTTTCTTCCCACTAACAACGATGCATTATGTGTTCTTTGTAATCAGGAAGTTGAGTTAAATTAAAATTTGCTTTGCTTTTGTCCGTTTGCAATTGCTGTGTGGTTTGCCTCTAGATGGAGCCTGAATTTGTCAAATATTTTTCAATATCAATGCTTTTCTCAATTATTTTAACGTTCAATCATCATACTGCTTCTGTGTATTAGCTTCTTTCTATTATAAATTTCCTCTTCCCTAAGTTATTTCCTACTGTTCTTGAGGTTGCATCTCTAGGGGAGGTACACCCCTAAGCATCGATCTTCTTTATTTCTCCCATATCCTTAGAGCAGCAAATGCTATCGCTCATCAGCTGGCTAATCAAGCAAAATCTGCTATGGAGAATTATGTATGTTTTGATATTTACCAGCTGGTTTACCAGATGCATGTAGTTATTTTATCCAAAAAAAAAAAAAAGAATGGCCTCGTCGTGGGCAAAATTATTGTCGGTTTTTAAAATTGAATCGTTCAGGGGTCCGGTTATTGGGTCGAATGGTTTGACCGTTCGAACCGAACACTTGGCTTATTCTGACAAAAAAATACAAAAATAAAAAACAGTCAAAACCATTCAAACGGTTAAATGCCCGGTTCAGCGGTTCGCTGACCAAAACCAACGGTTTTGGGGGAAAATCCAGTATTTAGGGAAAACGAAACCGGTCACCCGATCGATTCCTGGTTTTTCTGGTCCGATCCAGTTTTGAAATCCATGCGTAAAACTACTCTAAGGCTCAATTTGGAAATCCAAGAGTACAAATACCCATACATACAAAATAATACAAAATACAAAAATTTACACTCTACATATTTGTATTTGTACATCCCTTTCAAACTGAGCCTAATTAGCAATTCAAAATAACTGCACAATTGGACTATTGGAGCGGTTGCATAGGGATTTTTGTGGAGAGAGAACCATCAAGGTTATAGGGTCCACAATGGAAAATTTGTTGCAGGGACTTGGGGTTTTGGAGAGTTTATGAGATGAACCTACCTTTATTTGCAAAGCGGGTTTGGAGGTTTCTATCTAACGCAGATGATTGGTGGGTTAAATTGTTGAGAGATAAATACCTAAGAGAGAGATCCACTTTTTTCCTGTCAAAGTAAAAACTCTCGTCCAAGCGATACTACATCTCCGCCCCACAGTATATCTCGGCCATGTATTGAGAACACCTCCCATCGGTTCTGGTACTATCATTGTGAGATGTTTCCAATACATGGTGGGGATGTGCTGTGGGGCGGAGATGTAAACTCCATTCAGGCTTGTAGAGGCAATTGCTAAAAGTCAGCAATATAATGTCAAAAAATCCATGTTGGCAAGTGGGTGAGGGTAAAAGCATTCATTTTTTTTCCTAAACCTAGGGATCCAATAACTAATAGATCTAGAGTAGTAGATTTAGATAAAGAAGGGAGAAGAGTAGTAGATTGAGGGGAGTCACTGGTACATGCCCCTACGATTTTAGACACAAGATTTAAAGATATTATTTTTAGCAAAAAAAGCTTGAGCCATTAAATTATGGGCCAGTACTTGTATACAAGTCATTTTCACCTCTCATTTCTTTCTAATATGGGTCTTTACAATATTCTATTGAATTTGGATCACTTACCAACAAAATATTTTCAAACACACTACCAACATTATCTAACATCACATACCCCATACATGAAAGGTTCCACTTTTATGGTGGGTCCTAGTCTCATTGTGAGATGTATGTGTTAGATCTTGTTGGTAAGGTGTTGGAATGTGTTTTATTGGTAGGAGATCCCAATTGCATTCAATACACTCACATGTGGCTATCAAGTTTCTAACAAATGTGACTAAAAATGGCAATATAATCATATTGCTTTTGTAGATTAGTTTCAAGTCTCCTTTGAAGAGCCCTTTCAAAGTCTTTAAGTCATAAAATAAAAAAGATAAATAAAATTCCAGATGTAATACAATGATATTTGATGTTAATGCACTCTCTTGTCCATCTCTATGGCGTCCTAGCTTCTCTAATACACCTTGAAATTTTAATTTGAAAAGGGAACACCCAATAAAAGACCCATGTCATTAAGAGGGTGTTTGGCACACAAGTGTTTCGCAAGTGTTCCATTTTTTGCTGGTGTGTCATTCACACCACATCAGCAAATAAACAGAATCAGTAAGAACATCACATTTGATTAGTAGTCTGTCTTTTAAAAAAAATTACAATGATTAGTTCCGGGATTTGAGAAAAGAGGGATTTCTTGAAACAACAAATTGATATTTCTTGAATCGCCTTGATGATCTTGAATCACTAAGATGATGTGGCACATTGAAATTTGAAAAAGCTTTCTTTCTAAGATGCCATAAAGTTGTCATTATAAATATATTATAATAATGCCAAATCACTTTGAACGTTCCACAGCCTGTATCTCGATTTTTTGTATTTTTCAAATAAAAAAAAGGTGAAATGATTATGAATTGGGGCCCATTTGTGAAATGGAACACTTTTGAAATGCTCTATGCCAAATGTCCCCTGTTGTAAACTTGTAATTTAACCCATCAAGTAGATTTTAGTTGGCTAAGGGGGAAGGACATAGATAGTCTCTCTAAGTAGTTGGATCACAAACATACATGAATCCTCTCCTCCCCCAAAGTTCCAAACCCCTAGACCCCCATTCCAAATGAAGGATAGGGCAGCAATTTTTTATCAAACCCATGAAACCCACCCAACCCTAATGGGTCAAACCCATTTGTTTAGTTTCGGGTCGTTGTAGGTCGGTTAACCCAATAAGCACGGGGTTTAACGGATTGGGTGGGTTGGGTAATGGTTAACCATTAAACCCATCAAGGAGCAGAGACAATGCGCAATACAGAGAAGTGGAGAACGAGAAGAGGAAAGAATGGAATATAGGGTTTAGTAGAGACCACTCGATCAATACAATGATTTAGGCTATCGGACAACGAAGAGGGAAGAATGAATTTTAGGGTTTATCAAAGATCAATACGGTGATTTAGGTTGCCATCTCAGGTACTTCAGGTACTCAAACTCTCTTTCTCTCTCTCTCTCTCTCTCTCTCTCTCTCTCTCTTTGTATATTTAACCTTGTTTGCTACTCTACAACATGCATGGTGAAAAATTTTGACTTGTTCTATTAGTTCACTAATCTCATAGAGAGTTGAGAATTGAGCAGCCCTTATTTGATAGTTGCTTGCATTCGCTAATCTCATGTCAATTTAAGCTTTTCCATCCCTTGATGATCAGGGAATGTATGTCTTGTCAAATTCATCTTTTGAATAGAATTTACCTGAAAATGTAACTCTATGTTTACAATAGACTTTTTGATGCTTTATTTTCTCTGTCTCACCATTTAAATTACTTTTGTGGATGCCATTTACCTTGGCACTACCTTCTTTAAAATCTTTAATTATATGATCTAATAAAGATGGCTCTGTTTTCCCATCATGAGAGGAATTCAAAGCAACTGGTTGATTATTTACTAAAATTGAGAAACTTTGCTCTAGTGATAATGGAGCTACTCGATTATGATTTATTTCCCATTTAGGAGAATCTAGTCCTGCAGGCTTGAAATTCTAGACATCAGAACTATCGACCATTTCCTCTATGCACTTATTCATGTTATCCATTTTTGGTGCCTTAACAGAAACTATACCACTTGAGTTGACTCCATGTTGTGAAGAAATTACATCTGCCACTTGATCCTCTTCCAAATCTAGAAATTCTTGGGTTGGGGAGCTAGATCTGGAGCAATTATGGTCGCTAAATCCACCACTCTAAACCATAGAAATTGCTTGATCTAATATACCAAGAGCTTGTTCCACCTCTGCACTTAAAATCCTTTTTTTTCTTGTTGAGATTGCATTTTATTGGAATCAGATTTGTTGGAGAGAAATCTTTGCCTTTGCTATTATCCACTACTTGTCTGTCTTGCTCAAGGATAAAATGGCATTTCATCAATTCAGACCTTTTGAAAACATTTAGTTGTTATGATTTTGAAAGTTGGAATGGTATACTGAGGTCACCATCTATCATATAGATTTGACTCCCATCCAACACATAAACAGACATCAACAGGTGATCCCAAGCTAATATGCTCTTTGTTTTCAGTTTGGTGGTAGATACAACTCAAAAGTTAGTGTCTTGTAGTAGCTTACCATTGGATAGAATATTTTTAAATTTGGATCAGAATTTTGCAACAGGCTAATGATGTTTCAAAGTGTCTTTGGTTAGAGCAAATATTTCATTAGTGATGAATTGATAACATTGAAATGAAGCTCCTGTTGGTATTAAATTCATTTAGGCTCTATTTGTTTGTAGTATAAATCTGAATCAGATATATATATATATATTTGCCATAATGATGTCGAAAATCATCAGGGTCTACTTCAAGGAATAAAAGAAAAAAAACTTCCATTTTTTGGGAACATTTTGATTTGTTTTATGATGAAATGGAATTGAAAGGTCAAAATGCAAAAATTGTGATAAAACATATAGTGTAGATGTGGGTGTTGGCACATCAAATATGTTGCGTTATATAGGAATTTGTGGAGGTGATGAATATTGTAGGAGTCGAGTTAATAAATGTAATCAAGATGCATATAGAGAAAATATGGCAATGACTATAATTAGACATGGATATGCATTTTCATTTGAAGAGCATGATGGTATTAGGCATATGCATTCTGGTTTGAATCTAGAAGTGAAACATATTTCACGTAACACTACAAAAGTTGAAGTGTTAAAGATATACAATAAGGAGAAGAAAAAATTGTAGGATTTATTACAATCACTTCCTCGTAGAATTTGTCTTACATTAGATATGTGGACTTCAATTATCACGGAATCATATATGTGCATCATTGTTAATTTTGTTGATAGTAAGTGGATGTTACAAAAACGGATTCTATATTTCTCTCATGTACCACCCCCTCACACTGGTGTTGTAATTTTGGAGAACGTGTCAGATGTATTAAATGAATGGAAAATTGAAAATAAGTAATTTTCAATTAATTTAGACAATGCCTTAGCCAATGATACATTTGTTAATTTGTATAGAAGACACCTTAACTTGAAATATTCACTTCTATTAGATGAGAAGGTTTTCCATGTGCATTATTGTGCACATATTTTGCATCTAATAGTGCAAGAAGGTTTGAAAAAAAATAGATAATGTGGTGTTTAAAATTAAAGAAATTGTAAAACTTGTTAAAGGTTATGAGACATGCAAATTGAGATCAGTTGAATGTGCTAATCAATTGGTGATTGAGAGTAAAAAGAAATTAATTTTGGATGTTTCTACAAGGTGAAACTACACATATTTGATGCTTGAAAGGGCTATGTTTTATCAAAAAGTTTTTTCTCATGGAAATTATATGATATCAATTATGTTAATGCTCTAAATGAAGAAGAATGGATGAAGGTTGGAAAAATTGTTAAGTTTTTGAAAGTTTTTTATGACATGACCAACGTTTTCTCAGAAACCCAATATCCAACTTAAAATTTATATTTTTACGGGGTTTGTAAATTTGAATTGTGTTTAAGGAAAGCATTGAAAGGTAAATATACCATTTTGAAGGAGACGACCAAGTTTATGTTAAGTAAATTTGACAAGAAATGGAAAGAATATGTGGAGTTTGCATATAAAAAGTTATATAATGTGGAGGATGCAACAAATCACACTATTCTTGTTGAGGAAACATTGAGGAACTTATTTGTCGAATACATGAAGAGTAGTAGTGTCATGCCTAATGTGAAATCAATTATTGAAACCAAGTCCATTGATGATATGATGCTTGATGAGGAGTTTGATCAAATGGAGGTAATTATAATTTGAAAGTTTTATTTTTAAGAAAATAAAAATATAAAGTTTTCATATATTTAGTTATTTAGTTAATGTCTTGTTGCATTTTTGTTATTGAAGGAATTTGATACTTTTCAAAGTCAAGTCTATGTTATTCATGAAAAAAATCCTAATTAGACTTGTATTTAGAGGAAAGAAGCATTGATTGAAAAAGCCATATTGATATCTTAGGATTTTAGAGATTGAATGAGTCTTACTTTCCTGAGTTATCGAGGATGGCTCGTGATGTTCTTACAATTCCAGTCTCTACAGTTGATTCAGAAGCTGCATTTAGTGGTGGAGGTAGAATTTTAGAGCAATATCGCAATTCCCTTCTTCTAGAAAATGTTGAAGTTCTAGTTTGTACACAAGATTGGTTGTTTGGTTCGGAAGGTAATTTTTCCCCCTTTTGTAGATATTTATTTATTTGGATAACTTATGTTTTTTATAATAAAATCTTATTAGTTTAAAAAAGTTCTGATTAATTTATTCTTTTGTTTGTTTTTGATGTAAATAAATCAGAGGATGAAACGGAGAGGTGGATCTATGGAATTAGTTTTGGGATTTTGTTTTAGGATTTCCTCATTGAGTAACTCTTAGATATGCAAAATGTAGCAATTGGACCTAAAATTCTCATAATTTGGATTGAATTTTTTGTTTAATTGGACCCTAATAGTGCATTATGCTATTGCTGCATTGCAAAATATTTGGTTTTAGATATTTGCTTGCTGGTTTTACCTAATGTGTTTTTTTTTTTTTTTTGTTTAGAAGTCAGCACATATTGCTTGTCAATTTGATAGTGGTCATTGATCATTGATCTTCTTCATCATTGGTCTCTAGTTTTCCAATTTTGCTTGGATTTGTTGGGTTTCTTATTGATAGGATTTAGAAAATGGTTATGAAGTTGATGTTTTTAATTTGAGATACATGGCATCATAGCACATTAAGCATGATATTGTAAGTTTTTTGTTGCATTGCAGGAGTTGGGGGATAATATCCTTGACCATAGCCTACTTTTGGCAACTTTACCCTCTGTGGATTCTAGTCTAGCTGCATGAGGCAATTCTTGGGAAGAGGTACAACAAAAGTACCTGTGTGATAGACTTATGCAACAATCTACATATAGAAAAATATTTTATACATGCAATGGATAGGACCTACCAGTCAATTGGTTTTGTTAATTGCATTTTCTATGCTTGTAGATGACTGATTAGATGATTGTAAACATTTGATATAATGCTCACTTAAATGATGAAAGAAAAAATTGTGCATACTTGTTTAGATTAAAAGACATGGTAAAAAGAATTATGATGATTCAACTGAAACCATTGAATCAAGCCACCTTTTAAGTGCGGCATAAAATCCATTAAAGGCTTCTCTGTTTTTGGAGATTTTTTTTCTTGGTTCTGTGGGTGAGTGGGACATAATCCAATGAGAGGAGAAATGTGTAGAAGTTTGTGATGCAAAAATGTAGATACATTGAGAAGAAATAGGAAATATGTGGATAGGATGGATGATAGAGTTGGGCAGAATTTCTCTTTTTCTTACATATGATGAATTTTACACTTTTACCATGGATAATGGTCAGAGCAACCTTTTATTTTTGGTAATTCATTATTACAAGACTATTTACACTCATGTTTTAATAGGTGTCATTCTAATTTATTATTACAAGGTTGAAGTGCCTTACCTGTTTGATAGTAACTGCTTTACCTTTTCATGGAATTTTACTCTATGGATATCCTATTTGGTTAATCGTTCTATAGGCTCTGAAGAATGGAAGTTGGGTTCTATTGGGTAAACTTAATCTTGCTCTACAATCTGTTAGAAAGATGTTTAGAGGTTGAAATAATAGGAAATATGTGCTATGTCAAACTTGAAAAAACTCTAGATCTTTTGTTTGTAGTTTATTTTTTTCCTTTACCTACTTATCAAAAGCATTTCTTCTTCTTCTTCCTTTTACCTATCCAAAAAATTCTATTTCCATTTTCATCGCTCAAACAATTTCTATGGATTTTGTAGGTTTTATTTACCATGTCTATCATCATAGCATTATCACAAGTCTTTGAGTTGGCTTTGTGAACCCTGCCTTGCCTTTGCATTCTATATTGAATGCTTAATTTGTAAGAATAAAGACCTATTCTTTGTGGTTTCTTCATGTTTAATTTTAAAGGCTAATTGGGTTGTCTCAATTAATATGATAATTACAACTTTCTTAACAATCTTAAGTTGATTAACTTAGTAGAGCTTTTGTCTCCATGATGGGTTAGAATCTTCCCATAGCTTGGATACTGTGTTTTGGTTCCCATCCTGGTCAATCAAACAAATATGTAAGTAATCCATTGGCACTGGTTGGGAAAGGAGAGAAGATCAAGATTGTTGCTTTTCAGAAAAATAGAGGGGTTGAATCTTCATACAGTGAACTCGTGGAAAAAGGTAAGTTGCTTTTATTAATCAATATACATATTTGTACCGCTTCCTATCAAGAGAAAAAAGTCTATATACATATTTTTGTCCCAGGGCTAATAACAACACTTCTGGGTCGTGAGAAATTTTTGTAACTGATAAATAGTTGGTATCAGAGCTAACCCACAGTTAACAAAGTTAATCAGCTTAGTTTAAATTCTTTGATGATTCAAAACGTGCTGCTCTAACGCTCTCCATGTTTTGATTCAGAATCAATTTTGTTTGTTGGATTGTAAATTCTTTAGAAAAAGTATGTATTGTTTATGGTTCTTTTGGACTATGACTATGAGATCATGTGATGATGTGACTATGAGATCAGGCAAGGCAACAAGGGTGCCACCTATTTTGAAGTTTCTAATTGTGCATTTTAGTTTGAAGCCATGTATGACTAATAGTGAGGATTCATTTTCATCAGGGTTTGAATGCTATTCTAGACCATCGTGCTGAGGTTTTTATTATTGAGCTTGGACGTTCTAAAAGAGCAATTGGGAGGTTGAAAGGGATGATAAGAAAAAACAAGAGTTTACATACTAGTCATGGTCATAAGAAGAAACAAGAGTTGTAATGTTAGGGAAATCCATTATTAGGTTAGAGGGAGAAATCAAAGTTAGCTTTGGCTATCAATGCAATAGAAAAGAAAGGAAACCTGTTGAAGTTTACAATGGATATTAAATCCCATCTAAATCCAAACTCCGAAGGGCAATTCGAGAGTATACAGGGCAGTTCAGGAATACATGCTACAACTGTTGTAATGTTGTAATTTTCACAGTAATACTTTTTTTTTTACATGTATAGAAATGACAAAAATGAAAGTTTCAATTTCTATTTTTCAATTTTTATGTAATTCTTATCAATTTTACGCATTTTTTGTGTTTTTTGTTTAATTTCTATTTTATTTCCTGTAATTTCTATTATTTTTGTATAATTTTCATTATTTTATCTAAATGGGTAAGGTCGGGTCAAGATGGCTTTGGGTTGAACCCAACCCATTTAATTCTATCTAATTGAGTCATTAATGGGTTGGCGGGTTAGATAGGTTGGGTTGAAACTCAACCCAAAAGCAAACCCAACCCAACTTGCCCAATTGCCACCTCTGTTGAAGGCAGGTCTCAATCCTACGTCTCCACTACAACCAACCAAAGACTTTACCAACAGGTTAGTTAATTGGCATCTTCACTCTTTTATTCCTGTATCATGTATTTGATCACCTTAATCGAGTTGCCAGGTCTATGAAATTGTAAGGGCATGAATCCGGTATATTACTGTACATCATCACTCATTAAAAATGGTGGAAAATCAAGGTTAAATCCCTACTACTTCCCTTTTATACTGACCCTGCATAGGAAACCCTATATATGCAAGATCCCCCATATCGTAGTAATTTAAGTACCAGATGCCATCCTCAGAAATATATCATCTTAGCCATACCTTGTTAGTACTTAGCTATACAAAATCCCCTATACTTGAGTATCAGATCCATTATTTGAAAAGAAAAGAAAAAGTCACTGGCGTTCCATACCAGAATTTGATGGCTAGTAATAATGTGACATAAATTTCATTCTAAACATTTGAAAATGGGAAAATATCAGAAAAAAAAGTGTAAATTGCTTAAACCTCTTTGAAGTTTTGGACCATTGCTAAAACCTCGCTTGAAGTTTGTTAATTGCTATCAATTCCCCTAAACATTATGACATAGTTGCAAGTAAACACCATTTCTTATAATCCCCTAAAAAAGGCATAAAAATGTCCAAAATAATCATTCAATTACTATTGAGACTGGTTTCTAAGGAAAAAACAATACAAATTTATAAACAAAAAAAAAAAGAGAGAATTTAAAGTTGCAGCTTTACCTTTGAGAGACTGATACGAAGGGTAAATTTGGAAAATAAATTATGAAAGGCAAATTTAGAAGATAAATCAATTTCAAAAAAGAGATTGGAAGGTTTTGAGGTAAATTCATATGAAAAGAAAATTTGAAAAATAAACATTTTGATCAAAAGTAAATGCATGGGTATTTTAATCATTTTCCTTCCTCTTTTTAGAGGATTCTAATAAGGGGATCTATTTGCAACTATGTTAGAAAGTGGGGAAGTGATTGCAATTATCAAACTTCAGGGCAGGTTTCAGGCTTTCAACAACCACCAGAAGCCTCATGGGAGGTTTTAGCAATTTAATTATCAAACATAACCTTGCCCCTAGCACACGTCTTTTAATAGAAAATAAAAATTTTATTTAAAAAAAAAACAAGAGATGGTGATAAGAATCAACTAAAAGAGGAACAGAAAACTCCAAACAAATACACCCAAATGAAAATCTATGTCAATTAAATTCCCTCAGCATCCACTAAATCACCAAAAAAAGATTTATACAATCGAAATAAAACATAACAGAAACCCAAAGAACAAAACTAGATTACTCAATATATAAACCCAACCCCCTCAACCTACAAAACTTAATCTAAGCCTAACCACAACCAACCTCTTAAAAGGTTTTATTTGGGATTATAGCAGATAAGGACAACTTTTGGGTCATAATATCAATAAAAGTAATATTTAAAAAAAATTAAAAATAGGTTAATTTTTTAAAAATAATATCAATTTAGGGAAAAAACACTATTCATCTTCTTCCTCTTGCAATCTATTCATCAGCGTCGCTGCCCACCGCACCTCCGACAATGCCTCCACCTATCTTCACCACCTTTGCCCACCTCCGCCTTCACTTTCGGCAACGTTGCCGGAGCTGGGCGGAAGTAGAGGCGGAGGCGGTGTTGGTGGGCGGAGGTGGCAGCGCTGTGCAGAGGAATGACCACCAGCGTCGCCGCCATCGCCTCTGCCGCCGCCCACCTCTAGCAATGTTGCCGAAGGCGGAGGTAGAGGCAAAGGTGGGTGGAGATAGGCGGAGGCGACTGCGAGCGACAACGCTGATGAATGGATTGCAAGAGGGAGAAGATGAACAATGTTTTTGCTCTAAATAGATATTATTTTTAGAAAGTTAACTTATTTTTAAACTTTTTTTAAATATTACTTTTATTGATATTAGGGCCCAAAAGTTGCCCTTTCTGCTATAAGGGATTATAACAGATAAGGGCAACTTTAGGGCCTTAATATCAATAAAAGTAATATTTAAGAAAAATTAAAAATAGGTTAACTTTTTAAAAATAATATCAATTTAAGGGCAAAAACACTATTCATCTTCTTCCTCTTGCAATCTATCATCAGCGTCGCCACCTCCGGCAATGCCTTCACCTATCTCTGCCACCTCTGCCCACCTCCGCCTCCGCCTCCAGCAACGTTGTCGAAGGTGGGCGGAGGCAGATGCGGCGGCGACACCAGTGGGTGGAGGTGGCGGCGTTGGGCAGTGGAGTGACCACCAGCGCCGCCACCGCTGCCTCTGCCTCCGCCCACCTCCGACAATGTTGCCTGAGGCAGAGGTGGGTGGAGATAGGCGGAGGCGATGGCGGGCGGCGGCGCTGATGAATGGATAGCAAGATGGAGAAGATGAACAGTGTTTTTGCCCTTAATCGATATTATTTTTAAAAAGTTAACCTATTTTTGAATTTTTTAAAAAATATTACTTTTATTGATATTAGGGCCCTAAAGTTGCCCTTATCTGTTTTAATCCCTTTATATTTCACCCCCCTTCTTTTTAATTGACCCCATCCATTGTCTTCAAGGTTTAAAGTTTATGAGCGCATGGCATGCATTGAACGGTCCATGGTTAACATAGGACAATATTGGCGCATGCTAATTATAGTATGTGTTTGGTTCCGTTTATGTTTATTGAATAAACGTTTGTATTTTATTTGCTGATAAAATCGAGAAATGCAATAATTACAACCGTTTATGACAACTAAGCACCACTAGGCTCCACATCACTGTAACAGTTAGGGCTGTTCATAAGAAGGCCCAACCCGACCAACCCAGACCGACCTAACCCAAGTCGGCTGGGTTTTCATCAGCATGGGTCGATTTCGGGTTGTGCAAATTCCTAAACCGATGATTCGGGTCGGTTTTGGTTTTCACACAAGAAAACTGAAATCGACCCGAACCGAACCGACTTAGTTCCAAGTTTAAACATGAAGTTCCAAAGCCCATTAGGCCACCTAGTTTTTGAATGGTTGCAAGAAACTTTGGATTAGTGAATAGTGATTAATGAGCAACTTTTCATTTAAATTTTATCATAGGAAATGGCTGAAATGATGTTCAATTTATGACTGATTTTAAAATTAGCAAGATTTTATCACAGAGATGAACTTAGAACCAAAACCGACCCAAACCGACCCACCCCGACTCAAACCGACCAGGTCGGTTTTACTTAATACTGAGTTGGTTTCGGTTTCTATGTCAAGTAACCCGACCAGGTCGGGTCGGTTGAAAAAACTGCAGTAAACCGACCCAACCCGACCTATGAACAGCCCTAGTAACAGTGAAAAAGCGCCTGACCGTTTTTGAAAACTTTAAAAAGTAACTTCAACAAACGGCTAGCATGCACAAAAACCAAAGTTTACTTTTTCATTTTCAATGCATGCAAAAGAGCAAGAGAGAAAATGTTGAAGTCGCACCTATGTGGCACTATCATAAACGTTTAATGAATAAATGTAAACGGAACCAAACACCCTCATAGTATCAGTTTATGGTGGCTAATCAAGGTTTTTGAAATTGACCCAAAGAACAAACCAGTCAGGGGTCCGGTTCCAAGGCTGAACGGTCCGACCATTCGAACTAAACAATCGCCATGTTTTGACAAAAAAAAAAAACAGTCAAATCACTTGAATAGTTCAAACGCCCAAGTCAGGGGTTTACTAACCAAATCAATGCTTTTTTTGGCCAAAATTCGATTTTGAAGAAAAATAGAACCGATCACGTGACTGGTTCTCGATTTTTCTGGTGCAACCGTCTGGCCCGGTCCAGTTTAAACCATGTGGCTAATAGTGTTCAAATAATAATTTTGGTTCTACAATCCTGCTTTAAAATTTTTAAATTTCAAATTCCTTCATAATGGCCATTGATGTAACCGTTTCTGGTCACGTACCATTTTTTGTGATGTATAAATTTTTTGGC